GGCGGAACACGTGCCTGGGCCTTTTAGCTAGTACCTAGGTTGTTAGTATGGTAAGCTACATCAGTAATATAAACAATACAAGTCAAAATTAAACGGCTAAGGCTAGCATACAGGGCAATATACGATTGCCTATGGCGAAGGCTACATGCCAAGTTGTTGTGGAGGATTAAAGAGCAAAGGGCGACTCTTTATTAGTTAAGTAAGTCAGTCCATAATCACTGCATACCCTCCAGGCGGAGCGATTATGTCTTTGTAAAAAGACTGTATATGTGACTCAGTTTTCAATAAATTTGAGAAAGGGGGAAAATTACGTGAAATGTTAACATAGAAGATTGCATGAAGAAAGGGTAAAATATTGAACTTCGTTTAAAGCACGTAGAAAAACTGGCAGTCTTAAACGCAAATTGGAACGTGAAGCTCCGTATCGACAGAAAGGGAATAACCCCTTGTTGTTGTTGCTGCATAAATCTACCACAGATAGCTAGAAGTGACGACATCGTTCAGTTGCTGCAGTCGATAAAATGACAAGTAGCTATCTTGCTATATACGGTACCAGGGACATTTTGACATTAAATGCTTTTCATTGGGTTAAGTGAAGGATATTCTGAAGAATATGCGAACACCGGCTCCCGAAGTGGAATAATTCGGTTCATACACTTACCTTCCTTTTCAGGCGATTTTACGGAGAACGTTAGGTCCCCACAACAGAAAGCGTTCCTCGAAAGGTAAACTTATGCTGACCAGCCGATAAAGTGCCGGTCTTAGGTACACGAGAAAACATTTTTATTTAGAACGTTCAGCTTAATAGGCCTGTCGGAAAAGGATTTCAGGAGAGATTGGTAAAAAAAAAAGGCTGAGAAAGTGGAGCAGGCAACACTCACCGGTGGAGTTGGTTTTGGTGGGCCCTGTGCTGCCTTGGATATCTGCGTGTGAGCGACACTGGATTGCGATAGGGCCTGCAAAAAACCGAGTCAATATGAAATATAAACAACGCAAACTGAGCAAATTCAAGGAATGTACGTTAAAGAGGGCAAAACACGACCTCCCTATGGTTACCCGTCTCTACTGAATTTTTGGGGGTCGTAGCAAACAGCATGGAGATGGGTTAAAGCACCGCCTCGAGCTTCAACAATCTTTTCAGCTCACGTTACGCGATTTCCAACAGTTGAAGTTTACTGAATTATTTAGCTGGATGGTCGCCGGTGCTGCTGTCGCTAGCCTTGGTTGCTGCAACAGCTTACATAAATAATAATAATCCGGAATCCTACGGACCACTCCGAAGACTTGATCAGCATCCAGTCCATTACCTGCGTCAAGTAGATGTGTCAGAAAGGATGAAAGTGGAGAGTATATCTGTTATGATACCCCTAATTGAAGTCGAGAGGTATTCTTCAGTCCTCTTGCAAAAACATCGCTGGTTGTTACTGTTAGGAGTATTCCTAACGAGCGGCCTTGGCGAGCTCTCAGGCCATGCTATCGATCCGCCCACAGACAAAGGTGCGCGCGGACGGCTGCGCGTGAAGGAGCCGAAGTCACACGAGGTGAACAGGACAGAGGCGGCCAAATGGCAATCGAGTCGCTGGGCGCACGAGGATACAATCTAATTGGTCCCACCTATAACCTTCCTTATAGTCCCGTTCGCGGGACACAATAAATGACTTTCTTCCCTTTACGACCTTGTTCATTGTTCCCCTTGTTGGACTGACACAGAGATAGTGAGGCGGTACAGATCTAGCTTGGGAAGCCATTAAAACAGTTACTATTTTAACAAGCTTCGCATACACAAATGAAGACATCAGAGTAAAGTTTTGATGGAAGACTGTGGGGTGATGCTGCGCAAGTCTGCCTCCCTGTAAACTAATTCACGCACGGTGGACGTCTTCGTTCGTGAGGATCGCAGGGCCGCGTATGGAAAGTGACGGGGAATTCATCAAAACGCTACACAGCTACGTTTCCAGCTCTCGTAACGTGAAAAGGTGGACCTGTCGTCAGCCAATGAAGTTGTCGGATGATTGTACAATAAGCAGTTACACCATAACTTCCCTTGGGTAGATCTCCAAGGGAAATGCAAACTTCCTTTATCCGTACAGTTGCATCAAGTAGATAAACAACGACTTAGTGCAGAAACAGTCAGTTGGTTTTCCTATCTTAGCTTAGAAGCCACCGGGATATGATAAAAGCAGAGTGGACGCAGGACCCCTACAAGTAGTTGGGTTGCTATTGATATCTCTCAAACGCACTCGAAATAAATGAGCCCGTCTGTATAACTTCAGCCGCTGCTAACTTTAGGCATGTGGGCGTGTAGTAATAAGATCCTACAAACACTGCAAATTGCGGGTGCTGCC